TAAAGTGACAAGAAGAAATCCTATTTGTTTAAACCAGGATTTCTTTGGCATCTCTGTTATCTGCAGCTGAACCTATCCTAAGTGATACACATCAATACTGAACCCTAGAACTACTTAAGAATTCTAGCGTTGGGGTGCCTGGGTGGCTCAGTCAGTTAAGTGTCCAAATTTAGCTCAGGTCATGAACTCGCAGTTTGTGGGTTTGAGCCCATGTCAGGCTCTGTGCTGACAGCTCAGAGCCTGGAGCCTGCTTCGGATTCTGCGTCTTCCTCTCTCTTTGCCTGTCTCTCTCTCTCTCTCTCTCTCAAAAAATGAATAAACATTTTAAAAAAAAAAGAATTCTAGTGTTTACAGCATAAGCTAACATATTTGACAATGCCAAGAATTATTTCTGGTTTGTGGCCAGATGTCATGTAGTGTCATTATTTGTGATGTCACTAGCTCATCAGTCAGCATTGCCTGCTTATCACTGGATACCCAAGCATTTAGGATGTGCCCCAGGGGACTGTATTCCCTGTAACCACACAGATGGGCACAACGCTTCATGCCTTTTGGAGGACCTCCCTTCCCTTTCAGCGTGTGCCTTCTCCCCAGGTTGAAGTGCCCATGTGTAGTATAAGTTACTTCTCAAAGCCGTTTGATTTGGCTGCCTCCCCCGGGCTCTCACGACTCTCTCTTGTCTCCTTAGCACACCTGGACCTAAGAAATACAGAAGTGAGTTTCCCATGCCAAAGGGGCGAGAAGGTGAGACTAGCCCTCTCCACTGATTCCTCATTTCAGAGCTTGGCTGGTGCCGCTCAAGCCTGGGCGCCGGAGAGATGCCTGAGCTCAGGGGCCAGTTCTGCCACTTCCCGGCTGCAGGAACATGGGCAGGTTAGGTAACCTCTTTTCTCCTCCATTTCATCATAAGCAGCAGTCCTTATGTGATTATGCTTATCACATCCTTATGTGATTAGCAGAACTAATCATAGTGCATGTCCCATGGTATTGCTATGATGCTTAGGTGGGTTAATGCAAGGAAGGTGTCTGGAATAGTCACAGTGAGCCACAGTTACATAAGAACTGGCCAATTTTGTTGCTTGAATCAAAGTACAGAAAGCCTAAACTTATGGAAAGATGGATGGACAGTATCAGGAAGGGTCAGGCAATGGGGGTGGGGTGGGCTGGGATGCTCTGGCTCACATACAGCCTTTGGAATTATAGAATTATAGTGTCAGCGACCCAATATAATGTGTAAATACCCTTTACAGCATTTTCATCAAGTGAGTCTGTTTTTAAGACATCTGGAATGGGGAGCTCATTCTCTCCTGAGGTGGTTTCTTACATCAGAAATTTATATCCTGGTACATTCTACTTATGGATCCTAATTTTTCTTTTTTGGGGATACACAGAGTAAGTCTAATCTCAAACATATGATCTCTTCAGACATTTTGTGAAGCATTATTGCCCACCCCACCCCCTTCTGCCACAGGTCTTTTCCAGACTTGATAGGTCTTAATGTATGTGTCAGCTTATCCTGTGACAAAGCCCCTCTATTTTAGCCACACAGCCCAGTTTGCCTCTGCCCCTTGTGTGCACACACTGAAGCACAAAAAGCACACCAGGGCAGCCCCAGCCTCTGCCTTGTTTTAGACACTATACTTCTGTTGATGCTGCCTCATGATACATACTCATGAATCCCTCTGGCGGCCTCATTAACTCATGATGCATTTTCTTTCCCTGTGCCTGAACTGCTACTAAGCATCACATTTTCTCTCTGTATTTGTCCAAATAGAAATGAAGCCCTGATGTAGACTATTGTTCTTATTATTACTGCATTTCGTCCTATTGGATGCAGTCCATCACTTTCACTTGTCGAGATCTTTTTGTCATCTTCCATCTGCCACAGTTTCCATCTCACCTAGATCTCTGTCAACTGGAAACTATATCTTCATCATTTGAAAACTTAATAAGCTGGTAACGCTGTGGAACAGATCAGAGCATGCCACCAAAAACCTATCCAGACTGTCACGGAGTCATTAATTAGCACACTTTAGTATACATTTTTAACAAGTTTCAAATTGTACTTACCTGTCCAGGAGGATTGCAAAAGGCACCTTGTCAACCACAGAAATACCAGGTCTACAACATCCTAGAGTGCCAGAACTGTCTCCCTATTAACAAGAACAACAAAAGGTAATGACATTACTTGAAAACATAGCTGTCAGTACTGATCTTTGAACTGTTTATAAAGTTGCTTTGCCAATCTGTTGTCGAGTGGTAGGTGGTATTTTTATTCAGTCCACTTTTTATAAAATGAGAATACGTCTGGAAAGTGTTTCCATGGACAAGGACCTCAGCTTTACACGCATAACCACTGTGAATGCAGAAATGCCAATGCAGGTTTGGGAACCGATGGGCAGGTGAAGCCTTCCCAGGAGACTGATTAGAAGGTCAATGACTTGGTAGCCGAAGACTAATAACCTGCTCCAGAATTATGACCATAAGTCTTTGTGAAATTGAAGCCTCCCCTTATTCAACAAAGCAATATTGCAGATGGGAACAGAACACACCCAAGGAGAGAGAGTTTCCTATTATAGCAACGTGCGTGTTGCTCAGAATCCCTTTTATTACCAGACGCCAAGGGGAGAAACTGTAGACTATAGGTAACCATGGGTTTGAATCATGGTTCTCCTGCTTAATAACTCTGCCATAAGATCTGTTTTTAGAGGACCGTTGCAAGTCTCTACTGAAAAAGACTTTTTTTGCAAATTCTTACAATTAAAAAAAATCATGTCTTGAGTCTAGAATTATCTGCAAGCTCCCAGTACACCTATTCTAGTTTCTTTTGACATCATACCTCTTTGTTCCATAGCATTTTTTTGGGATTATAGAGTCAAAATTAAATCCATAGACCATTTTGTTCTTGAGTTATATTCCATTTTAGATTTCTTCAGTACTTTTTGATTCTGTTTTCTCACAGTCCTTAGCATATATACGACCATATCTAGCTTTTCCTTTCTTTATAATCACTGCATTTAAGTGTTCAAAGTAATTATCACTCACTGAAAGTGGCTCTTATAGCCCAAGATGGGACTCTTAAGGTTTCTCATTTTTGAGACCAGTGACCCCTAAGGTATTGGTATATGTGAGAGCTTTGTTTTGGGGTCTTGGAGAAGTGGGAGTTTTCTGTGAAGAGAGAGGAGGGAATAAAAACAAGATAGTTGAGGAGTAATTGACACCCATCCCAACCCCCACCAGACAAGATTGACCCAAACAGGCTGTGTAGTCCTAGGAGAAAGAGAGTCTAACAAAGTCGGTATAAGACTCTTGTGTGGAGACATCCAAAAGTTCAGATGATATATAGCAGCTCTGAGTGGGGACAGGGACAGTCCCTTCATTTCATAACAGTGCACTGAGGCCCTCTGAGGGCTTGGGGTAGCAAAGAGAGGATATATCTGTGCCTAGCATAACTATTTCCTGCAGAGCTCTGCAGCTAAGAGGATCCTGGAAAGGAGCTACTGCAGAAAGATAAGAGCAGATAATTTCCTCTTGGGTTCATGGTTTTCCAGGGATGTACCTATCTCAGTGAAATAGAATTAAGCTCTGCCTCTTGCTCTAGCAGATTAGATTCTTTAAACTGGGGTTTGACCTCATCATGGATTCTAATCAAGGGTCCCTCTTCCTCACTTGGTAATGCCCATGAGGTCATACTTACCCTACTATTCTATGAAAATACTTTATTTTTCTATTATCCTATGAAAACACATGTTCTAAGGATGGTTATATACATATACCACTGTCTTATTACATTGTTTTACCAATTTCTCAGCTATGAGAGAGCATGCATGTTTTCTACCAATAGTCAACACTGTATTCCTTACAGTAATTCAATTTTAGGTGTTTTTATTCTTTTTTTGTAGTCAATTTTAATTCCTTCTGAAAAGTCTAGTCTTTGGAAAAATAATTTCTTTGATCAAAATTGATGACATGCATGGTTTCATCATTCTTAAATGTTAAATTCCTGACCAAACTCATATCTCATTCCTTGAACACTATGTACAGAGCTAAGTATTTCTTTTTTTTTTTTTTCTTTAAAAACTCCAACCTTAGGTGGTTATAGGCAAACACTGACTGTACATCTCAGTTTTTCAGCCTCCCACGGCAGCACGGAAACAAGAGGGATCTCTTAGAGTCTCGCTAACGGTATGCCCACGTGCTGGATGGTGTCAGTGCCTCTCAGCTTTGTACTTACCATTCCATACCCTTCTCTTTACCATGGTAATAGGAGGAATCCAAAGTCCCTTACCAGCTGGTAAGTCCCATCCAACGGGAGGCAGAAGATGGGAGGTGAAAGGAAAGGAGAAGCCGCTTGCGTCTGTGACAGTGGCAGCATCAGCAACCCCGTAGGGACAGCAGCAGCAGGCGCAGTGGTGGGGGTGACAGCAGCTATCACACTGGCATTTGGGACAGAAGAGAGAAGCAAGGGTGCTGGGTGAGTGCCGGATGCTGAGGTGCCACTCAGGCGGCGTTCCGCCGGCAGCAGCCCGGAAGGCCCAGGTGTATGGACTCGGGGTAAAATCATCTTCCCTTCTGCCCTCCAGCTCCACGTGCGATCACGGTTGAGTGGAATTGCCAATCCTTGCATAAGCCAGCCTTTCTTGTTTTGCTCCCCTAGCCCACTCCAATGGTTTTTTTTTTTTTTTTTTTTTTAATGTGTTTTTAACTTTTAAGAGGGAGACAGAGCGTGAGCTCGGGAGGGGCAGAGAGAGAGAATTTGAAGCAGGCTGCAGGCTCGGCGCTGTCAGCACAGAGCCCCTGCGCAGGGCTTGAATTCACCAAGGGCGAGAGCATGACCTGAGCTGAAGTCAGACGGTAACTGACTGAGCCACCCTGGAGCCCCTCCGATACTTTGGAAACAGATTCCTTACATTCAGCTCTCTTTGTCAAACACCTAGATCTGTTCCTGTTTTCCTGGTGGTGCAGGGACTGACGCACACGGCTCTGAATCAGCCCGTGTGTGTAACAGTCAGCAGATGCGGTGTGCCCTGGAAGGCATTTCATCATATGCTGGGAAAACGTTCGAGGAAGATTCAAAGGACGTGGTGAACTCTGTATGCAATTGTTCTTTATCTCGCAGTAGAGAATCCCCAAACTCTCAGATCCAGCGAGAGGTCTGTGGTAGCCACACAGGCTTTTATAGACTCCTGTTTCTGCCACGTTTACTCCCCAGAAGGTCTGCATTTAAATTATTGAAGAAAATGCAGACTTTCTGTGTCTGGTGAGTCCTTTCTTTCTTCTGTAAGCTGCACAATTCCTCACGCTCGTCTCCTTGGTTCTTTTCTTCCCCTTAGACGCCTAAGAATTTTGAATCTGTGGTTTTCTTTTGGTATTTCTTCTTCCATTGTCTCTAGGAATTATTCATTTTACAGAAAATCTGGTATTCAAAAGGAGGATTTTGAAGGAAAAAAGGAAGTCTGTAGTAATAATGCTACTCCAGAGGGAGGGGCAAGATTGTTGTCATGAGTCAAGTTAAAATGCGAGGCTTGGGGCGCCTGGGTGACTCAGTCGGTGAAGCGTCCGACTTCGGCTCAGGTCATGATCTCACGGTTGTGGGTTCGAGCCCTGCATCGGGCTCTGTGCTGACAGCCAGCTCAGAGCCTGGAGGCTCTTTCAGATTCTGTATCTCCCTCTCTCTTTGACCCTCCCCTGCTCACGCTGTCTCTCTCTCTCTCAGAAATAAATGAAACATTAAAAAAATTTTTTCAAAAAGTAAAACATGAGGCTTATGCTGATGACATCAGTGTGGGCCAGATCCTTGTGCTACAGCTTCATAATCATCATACGCAGCCTTTAACCAAGGTAAAAAATGAGTATATCTTACTCCTCCAAAAATTAAGAAAGGAGTATTGTCTTGAACAATCCCATAGGTCACCATGGTAAAATTCATGCCCATAAGTCTATATCTAAGAACTATCCTTCCTCATTCTGAACAATGTAGGTGAGGGTACTGACCCCAAATCTGGGAAAGAGTCATATAATGCCCCATTGCCCTGGTGGATTCTTGACCTTTAATATTCAGCCTCTCTGCCTCCATGTACTTTCCTTTCTCATGTCTGCATGAGATGCAGATATGGTAGATTTAGAAGCTGACACTTGATTAGATATAAAATTTCAAAGGAAAAAGATAAACTGTGCAGTTGAATGTTGCCCAGAAGCAGGGAAAGGCATGCAGCCAAATCCATTCTCCGCCCCGCCCCCCGGCCCCCCCAGCTCCTTGTTCCAGCACATGACGTTGCCTGGATATCAGCTTATCAACAGACCGAATTTTTACCGCCCCCATCACATGAAGAAAGAGAGCTTGTAAGAAGACTACATTGGAGTACCAGCTTTTAAGTTTATAATACAGGGTAAGTCTTTGAAGCAAGTCTGTCTTTTTGTTTCAGACATAAGTTATTTGTTAGATTTTTCCTCCTTGAATTCTCCAAGCATTCTAATCAAACTTCATCAGGTATAGTCCACTTGAATAGGTAAGATAGATTTCTTTAGCAATAGCCCAAGAAAAGCACATGTGAATTGTTGCCACAAGAAGGATCGTCAGTCATTTCCTTATGCTATTTGAGGAAAGAAGAAATCTTTCTAGCTTTGAAGAATATTTATGCTCTGCTCTACAGATCTGGAAAATGGGAGGAGGGATACTGAGAAGATCTAAGTACGGGATAGAGTGTCAGCTTTTATCACAGAGAATAGTAAAAGAGTATATCTTGGTTGGTGTGGTTTCTGAAGTGCACGTTGAGGGAAGGCAGTATTAAATGAAATATTTATAGTTTAATTTATAAGTTTATATTGTGGAAACAGAACACACAGAGATGCTGACTGATGTTTTCCTAATAAATTTCTCTTCTGGAAGATCTGAGCCTTAGCTTCCTGAATTCTGAAGCAGAGATTTCTCACATTTTAAAATACTTCTTCAGTGTGTGTACATGTGGGTGCTTTTATGTGTGCATGTGCATAAGCATATAATAAGGGAGAGAAGAGAGAGAGGGAACTGGCATGAAGGAGAACTTTCTACAGCCAGGATCTCAGTGAATCAACCCGATGGGGTAGGTGTTGGCAAGGGCAAAGGTATGAGCAGAGGAGAAAACACTCGGAGTTCTCAATCTATGCCTTGGCAACCTTATTCCAATATGTCTATTACTCCTTGATTGTTAATTTTTTTTATAATTGTACACCTCTCAGATTCCAAACCCTAAACTATATGGAAAGGGAAAAAAGACTTACTCACAGCAGGTGTGGCTCCTTCACTGTGTCAAGCAAGTGGCAAGAAATATAGCTAAGTTTAATAGTTTCTTTGACAGTCCAGTGCTGTAGAGTTGCAAAATGAAATGTGCAAGAAATGGAGAAAAATGTAAAGGAATACTATACTGCCACTAAAAATTGTAGGCTTTTAAGGGATAGTCAGTGAGCTGGGAAAGTGCACAGCATATAGAGTACGGTCTCCCTTTTCCAACACCACACAAAATGTCCACAGATAAAAAAGAAGAAAAGGAAACCAATCAAATGCCATCAACATTTATGGACAGTTAGACTATGGATAATCATATTCTTCAAGTTTTAAATTTTTCCAAATTTTCAAAACTGACATATATTACTTTTACAGTCAGATAAGGTAATAACTATTACTTAAAACAATCAATAAATAACTTGTGAAAGGGTGTGGTTCCCCAGTCTACCTGTTGCAAACATAAGATGAAGCAGAAAGACAAAGTCCTTCCATAACTAGCAGGTGGAAATAGGGAAACTAATTTGTTTCCCAGAGTGCAAAACTGAGCAGTCTGGTGAGATCCAATTACTTGGAAACATGTGAGAAACCTTTTTATTCCTTGACATAAACAGCATTTATTTATTTGTTTATTTACTTACTTGCTTACTTATTTACTTATGTCCCCAAATAGGCTGCACAAAATGCAATTTCATGCTATGCTTTGTTGTTCCCTGGGGGTTTAGGATAAAGAATGGGAGAAAAATGGAAAAGACAACAAAAACTTTGGAATGTTCCACGGATTCCTTGCATTCGAGTCCCTTCCTCTGCCTCTGAGACCTCTTTACTGAAGGTATCGTGTATCATTTGCTAATGGAGAAAATTTGTAGGTCTTTTTTTCAAAGCTTGAGAACTTTGCCTCATGTCTTTGTTTACCTAGGTAACATCGCACCCAACATAGGCCCTCGGTGCACATTGATGGCCTGTGTGGTGAATAAATGAGCCCTGGGATAATCTGGTCCTACACCCAGCCATTTTAGGAGCTCTGTGGATGGTCATGTCTTCATTGCGAAAGCACTAATTCAGCGGTGGGAAACTCACTAGTGACCACGCTATGGCTCCCTGCTAGAGAACAATGTTAGCTACTTTTGGTCAAAGTTATTTAAAGTCACTCTCATAAATACTTCTTTCAAAAATTAAGTTCTTTTTCATCACCTCAAGGAAGGATAAGCAACAGGGTAAGAATATTAGGAGTGTTATTTAGGAAGTTTAGATCCCTGCTAAGGAAAGGACATAGCCTTTTTTCCCCCTATGAAATAAAACCATAACTTCTAAGATTTTATCTTCTATAATGATTACTCTCATTGCCCTTTGGAGCTTTGCTCTTGAAACTGACTTGCTACTTTCATATTCTATTGTTGTCTGTCATTTGAAAAAGCTTAATTAGGAATCAATTATCTTCTTCATAGATATTATCTTTTAAAACATCTAATTCACAAACTGTAAAGTTGAAATGATGCCCCAAATTGAGAATTACTTGGCTTTGCTACCTTTACTCTGGACACATTTTCAACATCAAGCTTAAGGTGTCTAGACATCAAAAAATAGACTCACAGGTTTCAACTCCATACCAAATTTCTCTCTCTCTCTCTCTCTTTTTTTTAAGTTTATTTACTTATTTTTGAGAGAGAGAGAATGAGCAGGGGAGGGGCAGAGAGAGGGAGAGAAAGAATCCCAAGCAAGCTCCGCACTGTCAACACATAGCCCAATGCAGGGCTCCAAACTCATGAACTGTGAGAGCATGACCTGAGCTGAAATCAAGAGTCAGGTGTTTAACCCACTGAGCCACCCAGGCACCTCTCCACACCAAATTTCTAACAGATGAAAGTCACTCTACTTTTACATTTAATTAACTTAAATTTAGTTTTCATTACATTGGTTAACAACTTGTTTTGAAAATTCTGTCATTGATTTGAATTTTTTAGCCTAGAGCAGATTTCTCGTTCCTTGATTTTTCTAGAATGTTGATGCTACTATCTCCGTCTCCCCCATCTACAAATGATAAGCATTGATGATAGATTAGGAATGTGATAGAAATTGTAGTCCTAGTCCTTCTCGTTCCTTGCTTGCCCTAGATGTCAGCCTTCTCAGTGCTCTTGCTCGCGATGGTCTGTCTTCCCAGAAGCTCATTCTCCACAGCAGGGCCAGTTGCAGAATCTGGTCAGCTGAAAGTATGACATTTTGGGTTGGATAATTCAACCAACGTAACCAGGACTAGGAGGCTATCTTGAGCACCGTGGGGTGTTGAGTGACACCCCTGGCACTACCTACTAACTGCCAGTGGTTTTGTCCTCCCTTTCACCATTTACGACAACCAAAAATGTCTCTACACATTACCAAATGTCCTTAATGGTCAAAATCACTCCCTTTGATCATTATTGACTTAAATAAAGACCTTCGATGGCTCCTCATAGAAAAGGTAATCTTTAAACTCTTTAATTATTATTTTAAAATTTGAGTCTGAACATTACATATAAAGATTTTATGATCTTCCCCTGCCTACCTCTATAAACTTTTCCCCAGCTCAGACTCTATATTCTGCTGGAAGTTAAAAAAAAAAAAAAAAAGTCCGCTTCCCAATATATCCAGATATTTTGTGCCCCGTTGGAAATTTATACCACTTTCCCCCAAAATTAGCCTTTCGTTTTCTTCTAACACAGTGGTTCTCAAATTTTAGTGTGCTTGTATCAGAATCACCCAGAGGGCTTGTTAAAGACAAGAGTGCTGGGCCCCACTCCCAAGAGTTTAGGACTAGGGTGGAGCCTGAGAATTTACATTTCTAACAAGTTCCCAGGTGATGCTAATGCCCTTTGAGAACCAGTATTCTGGTTCTTTGGAGGAATTCCTCCTCACCCTAAGACTCAGATGTTTGGGTCAACTCATTTAGAAAGCCTTGCACAGAGTTTGTTTTCCTTCTCTGTTTTTATAGCACCTTCTAAAACTAATAATGCTGAACCTTTATCACATTTACCTACCCACTCATCTAGCTATCTGCCCTGCTTACTGACAACTCTGGGTGGAAAGTTCTCTTGTCCACATTCAGAAGCCCAGTCTATGTCAGGCCCTGTGTATCTTCCTTCTCCAATAAGGATCATAATAGATAAATAAAATTATAAGAGCTAAGTTCTTAGATCTCTCTCAGCCCAGTACTTTGACCTACTTAACCTAGAGGAAGAAACTACCTAATTGTTGTTTTCCAATTGTTACATGTATATATACATATATAAAATTGGTATACATACATATGTTTATATACATATATATATGTATATATATGTATATCTTATTTCCAAAAGAAGTCAACTTTGAATACATAACACTCATAGTCCTGGAGAACTCCACCAACCCATCAAAATCACCTGCTTTGCTCTGACAGGACCTAACCCAAGGTCAGCAACGCTACTTTTACAGCATCATGAGGATTTATAATTCCAGGCCCCAGTGGCAAGCCCTGCAGAACCGCTATATTCACAGCCTTCAGCACCAGCAGCTTCTTGGTGAGTTTTAACTACCTGACCCAAGCCAGGCACCTTAGGGAGGGACTCATGTGCTGCAGCCAGAAGTCAGGTTTCCAGATAGATCATTCAAACAGAATGGCCTCCTCTGCCAGTGTGCTATTTTATAACATGGCTGGCAAGCCATGTTTAAAAATGATTATTCCTGACAATACTAAGCAAGGTTTTATGGGTAAATTAAGAGGGTTTCAAGAAATCAGAGTATGGATTGCTATAAAATGTCAACAACTGTCTGAGATTTACAGGAACTCGATCTAGTAGAAATGGCAATGGGCTTAGGCAGATGGTCTAGGCTCAAACCACAGCTCAGCCACTTGCTGGATGTGCAAGTTCAGAGGCTTGGTTTACTTGCAACAATAACAGTTACATTTAGTGGGCATTTACCACGTTTGAGACCATGTGTTAGGAGCTCTACACATACAACATATAATATTATATGTTATATATCTTCTCCCTACTTCACAGCCATGGGGAACTGCAGCTCTGACACATTATATAATTTGCTGAAGTTGTAGATAGTGAATGTCAGGGCCATCACCTGCACAGATCATGCCTTTTCACCCCCATGCTCTGACATCTCTCTTCCTCTAGCAACCTCATGGGATTTTATGAAGCACAAATGATATAATGGTTGCAAAAGACCTTCACAGAGTTTAAGCAATAACCTTCTGAAAGATGTGATTGTTGTTAAACCCTTTTTCTTCTTGGAAATGTCTTCAGTCTCTAGCTGTCCTCTATGACTGGCAGAGCTTTCTTTGTGTAAGCAGCTCACTTGACATTAGCATATCTATCTTACATTGTTGTTCCTGTGTCTGCATAAAAGAAAGACATGGTTTTTGCAAATGGTTGAATAACAAGAACAATAACAATAGGTATCTGTTAATAGGTCTTCCTATGGGCCAGGGACAGTTCTAAGCACTTTGCAAATATAGTCTTATTTGAAACTCAGACACCTCCATATAAAGGTAGTTGCTTTTAACCATGGAATACTACATGGCAATGAGAAAGAATGAAATCTGGCCATGTGTAGCAACATGGATGGACCTTGAGGGTGTTATGCTGAGCGAAATAAGTCAGGCAGAGAAGGACAAATATCATATGTTTGCACGTATAGGAGGATTAGGAGGAACTTGACGGAGGAACAAGGGGGAGAAGAAGGTCGGAAATGGTGGGGGAAAGGGAGAGAGGCAAACCATGAGAGACTCTTGAATGCTGACAAAAACTGAGGACTGATGGATGTGGGGGGGAGGGGGGGATGGGCATGGAGGAGGGCACTTTGGGGATGAGCACTGGGTGTTATGTGGAAACTAATTTGACAATAAACTATTTGAAAAAAAAAAATTAATTAATTAATTAAAAAAAAAAAGGTAGTTGCTTTTATAACCCACATTTTGAAGAAAAGAAAATTGAGATGTGAATAACTTAAATCACTGGACCAGGATCATGTGACCAGTAAATGGCAGAGCTAGATGCAGCTAGAGGCAGCTCATGATTGCCTCAAGTCTTGCAGAAGCATCATCTACTAGCTTTGATCGTAGAGTAAAATTGCATAGAGGCCAAGGAAACCAGAAGAGAGACACTCATTTTTTAGTGCACATGAAATCTACCTGCATACGATATCAAAATGCAGATTTCCAGGCCTAGCTCTCTCGGTTTCTGATTAGGAAAGTCATTGGAGTAGAGCCAGAAATCTACATTTTTAAAAAGCATTATTAAATGTGGCCTCAGCCTGATGGTTGTGGTGGGTGGTCTGCAGACTATATTCTAAAAACACTGACCGACATTGAATATATCTGTTTCTGGCTTGAAGAAAATTTTGAAAATGAAAATATGCAGTTCACGGTCAGATTACTCATGGCCCAAGTCCCTCTCCAAATGATTTGTCATGTTAATCAATGACTCTATTTTTTATCTTAATTGAATAAGAAATGCAAAAGGAGAGAAGTACACTGCCTACCTTCAAAGATCATACAATCTGGGCGTGTTACCACAATGTTTTCTACCCTGCAAAGTAGAAGAAGTTTTATGAATTCATAAATGTTTGCAAGGTTGTTTGCTTATTTGTTTTGTAAGATTGTTGACTTTGAACTTTCTTTCATGTCTCTCCCCTTAGGCTACATTACTCAACAGGAAGCTTTGGCTTGTGCTGCTGTACTTAGAGATTCAACCAAGAGAGCCTCAGCTAAGGTAGCTCCCCAAAGATCCATCCCCCGGAAGCCTTCAGCCATGACCAGAACATGGCCGTCAGCACTACCTGTGCCTGTGGTTCAATGCAGGGCTCAAAGTGCAGGGCTTGGATCCCTCAGGAACTGAGATTTTGCACAAGCTCTGAAACAGGTGCGTTGCCCACGTACCCCGATATCTAGTGGGTGCTCAGTACATATTTGTTGAATGAGAATGGAAGAAAAGTAACTTCTAACACAAACCCCATACCTAGAAATAATCTCTCTCCCACTCACATAAATTTTACCAGCAAGAACAAGTTGAAGGTTTTAAGAGCAGTGGAGCTAAACATAAACAAGCCTTTTACTCCTCAGAATCTGTAGAGTGAAATGACTTTTGAAGCTTTCCAAATAAAAGCTTCCTTTGAATTAGAGCCTTCCAGAGAAGGTGAAAAGGAAAAGTCATCAGAGGGCACCAGGTGCTGTCACTGAATGACTGTTGAAGCCACCCACTGCAGATTCTGAAAATACACAAAGCAGTACTGAGGTAACACTGAGCACACAGGGTTTCCAGAACCGAATCATTTCAGCAGAAACTGGGCTGTGCATTTCCATATCCCCCTTCCTCTCTTCTTTCCCATCAAGCAGTAACCTTTAATTTGGCCCCCAATCTTCTGGTTCTTGTCTGACTCAATCCCTTTGTGTCATCCTGAAGCTTCGATTTATCGACTTGCCACAGCTGGGTTCATCTACAGAGCTGTAGTTGACCTTGACAGAAGCAAGAGAATTCGTACACACATCTTCTCCTGGCAGCTGAAGAAACACTCTCGGCAGAGTGAGAAAGAGCCCCTAAAGAACTAGTTTCAAATCTAACCTTTCTGTGGCCTCACTAGTTTTAAGCAAGCACCCAAGACCAGATGAATAAGCAAAAAAAAAAAGAGAGAGAGAGAGATAACAATGAATCAAAACAACATACAGTGTTCTGGTATTATATTAGTTATATTTAATTGTTATTTTTATCACTAGTGATTTTTTTTCGTGTAGAAAGTTAGACACCCGTGCTCACATAAAGCCAAAAATTTAATAATGCCTTTTCTTCATCTTTATTCTAAATGTTCAACCCCTTCCCTCATTTAAACCAGCCAATGACTTTGTCATGCCTGTAAAAGGAGTTGCTTGAGATGGAATTCTAGACTTGTTTGACAAGGGAAGTGTTGACATTGATCTGGGAGGAAGATGCTGTACCATTACCAGAAAGAAGGAATCTCACTGATGATGATGATTATCTTCTCTCTGCAACTATTCATAAAGAATAAAGAAGTTTCTTGACCTCTGCAAATCCTGGCCCTGACTTCTGTGCTCTATGTGGCTTTTCAGTTCTAAGTTAAGAATCATTAGACAGGCTTAAAAGAAGGAAAAAAAATTAAATGGAACTACAATGAGCTATAGAGTAGCTCTCTTAAGGGACTGAAGTACGTGGTAGATTTAACTTGCCCTATACTAGCTTTCCCATTGCTACCAAAAGGGGCCTTTTATCCCTATGAACTTCTTGCATACACTTTAAAATTGAAGTACAGTTAACATACAAGGTTACATTAGTTTCAGGTGTACAACATAGTGATTCAACAACTCTAAGTGTTATGTTATGCATGTACTTTTATCTTAGACTTTTTTTTTTTTTTGACGGGCATGAATATTTGCTGTGTAACCCTTCGCTAGTGATGCAGAATATTAAGGAGGCCACTTAGGATTCTGAGCTGCATCCCTGCATCAAAAAATCTCAGAAGCACCTTGTTTTCAATAGAGGCTTCTAATTGGTAAGTGAATGTCACAGACCCATAAAAAAGGACAAATCTAAGTTGTTGGCTCTCCCTTCTGAAAAGATGATGCCCTCCCAGTTGAGCCCCTCCCAGAAAGCCTATGAGGAATATGACTGATTATGGTGCTAGGTGAAAGGTGCTCATTGAGAGGATCCTGAGAAAGACAAACAAAGGGGAAGAGAGGATAATTTGTAACACCACAATCTGTTTATCCATTCACTAGTTGATGAACATTTGGATTGTTTCTAGCTTTGGATTATTACAAGTAGAACTGCTATAAATACTTTAATATAGAGGCACTTGGGTGGCTCAGTCAGTTAAACATCTGACTTTGGCTCAGGTCATGATCCCACAGTTGGTGGGTTTGAATCCCACATCAGGCTCTATGCTGACAACTCGGAGCCTAGAATCTGCTTTGGATTCTCTGTGTCCCTCTCTCTCTGCCCCTTCCCTACTTGGACTCTGTCTCTCTCAAAAAAAAATTAATGTAACTTTTGTGTGCACATAAGTTTTTATTTCTCTTGGATAGATATCCAGAAGTATGATTACTGGGTAATACAGTAGATTTAGATTTAACTCTACAAACTACTGTCAGAATGTTTTCCTATGTGATCATCCCATTTTGCATTCCCACTAGCAATGTATAAAAAAGTTCAAGTTGCTCCACATCCTTGCAATGTCAGATATTTTAATTTTTTGTATTCTAGTGACTGTGGCTGCTCGATGAAGATATCACTGTTAAGTATAGGTCACCTTTTTATTAGAAACCATGGAAAATTTCAAGGAAGGAGTTCACAATAGACAAGGAAGTGATGATGGCAATAATCTTGGAGTTTCAATAGAAGAAATTTCAAAGTTTAGCAGTCAATGTTGACAAAGCAACTGTCCAGCTTTTTTTTTTTTTTTTTTTTAAGGGCAGCAAAGACTTGGAGGAGGTGAGAAAGAAGAAAAAGAGGCAACCCCCAGAGGAAGAACCATCCTTGGCTCAAGCTGTTTAAGCACACAAAACTGGGTTCAGTGTGTCCTCAGTACCTTCTCCCTTTTCCTCATTTAATTTGTTCTTCAGGTTCAGCAACCAACACTCTACAACCACTATGATCTTTATGCACTGTATTAGTTATTACTGCATAAAACAATCACCCTAAATCACAGTGAATTAAAACAACAAGATTTACTTTCTCACAGTTTCTGTGGTCAGGAATCTGGGCAAGACTGAATTGGGGCTTCAAGTTCAGGGTCTCCCACAGATTGCAGTCAAGGTGTCAGCTGAGGCTGTGGTCTTATGTCAAATTTCAACCAGGAGAGGATCCACTGGTTATGATCTAGAGGCTATTCTCAGTTGCCTGCCACATAGGTCTCTCAATAAGGCAAAATTGACAATAAGTCACAATAAATCACAAATGGCAACTTGTTTCATCAGAGTTGAAAAACAAAAGAGCATGAGAGAAAGGGGGTAGAAGACGGAAGTCATAGTCTTTTATAACCTACTCTTAGAAGTCAGTTATAGTCTATTCACCGTTGCTATATTCTACTCATTAGAAACAAGTCACTAGGTTCAGTCCACACACAAGAGCAGCAGATAACATAGGGCATGAATACCGGAAGGTGGGATCACCGGCAGCCATTTCAGAAGCTATCTACCAAAGCCAGGACTAGGGTGAGGTGAGTGAGGTGCCTAGGGTATAAAATGGAAGGAAACACTCTTTTAAAAAAATGTTTTTTAAATTTATTTTGAGGGGGTGGAGGGGCAGAGAGAGAGTCAGAGACACAGAGAGACAGAGAATCCCAAGGAGTCTCCCTGTGGTGAGGGTGGGGCCAGATGCAGGGCTCGATCTCATAAACCTTGAGGTCCTGATCTGAGCCCAAATCAAGGGGTGGAAATTTAACAGACTGAACCCCTCAGGCAGCCCAGAAATACTTATTATTACAAGACCCCAAGAGGGAATCCCAGGCAATTGCCTCCCAGATACCAATCCAACATTAGTCTTCCCCCTGCTGTCTGCTATATGCACTCGGCACCTTTCTACTAGCTTCTGACAGGGCTCCTGCCTAGACACCCAGTCTGAGCCTGTTTTCTCAGACAACTCCCTGTGCTGTATGCTTTTTTCTTGCCATGACCCTCTCTTGAAACTTAGCTGGCTTGTGTTCTAATATTCCAACATGCTGTTAAGGAAAAATTGATTTCAGATAAGCCTAAGACATTTTAATAATTGACACCTACTTAAATGTTATCTCTAGATGTAGGGCAGTATTTATCAAAATACAATTCATACACCAGATTCACTTAGGATGCTTAAGGAAAATGTAACTTCTTGGCTCCCATCTTCCACCCTTTGAATCAGAATCCGAGAGGTAGCATCCTAGGTGTTACCTGTGTTTATTAAAGTAGCTAGCATGTAAGAAGGGACTTCAATAGCCAGAAGGCTTCAGTCCTAACAAACTGAATTTCTGTTCGGCAAATCTGGCAGATTTAGGGCCAAGGACTGCCCATCGAGGACTGCACGATATGAGTGGCTCTGGGGATCAAGAACGTTTCTCCTTACTAACCTTCAATAAATCATATAAATGAAATGCCAATTATTCTCGTTCAAAGCCAGATCAATGGCATATTATAACAGCACTTTCTACGAAAATGATTTATGGTTCCTGGATTTGGTGTTACTAAATATGCATTACTATTCCACCAAAGTGAATCCTGACGTGGTTTGCCCTCTCATCGCCTATTTTGTGACGAAAGCCACAGGAACAGGGCCAACAGTTCCTGCACCTTTTCAATTAAAATGAGTTGCTAATTGCATCAGTACTTGTAGGGGAAACCATTATATTGGCCTCATTGACTCTGCCTTACCCCTTAAATTACAGTCCTGTTGCCTGAAATGTAATCAATCCCTATGTTTGAAATCAATCCCTCGTCTCCCTCTGGAGAATTCTTGCTCATTCTTCTCCACATTAGGGCTACCATACCGTACTGGCTACACAATGGGTCCCGTAAGGTTAGAAGTAGAGGAAATCCCTGTAGCTATTGCAAATCACAGCTTAGGAGCAGGGTCAGAGGCAATTACACAGTTGTAACTAAGCCAAACACTCAGCTATATGGGGCGACTTCCAGCCTCCTCCTGGCCTATGGTGGGGGGGGAGGTTCTCTGAGGGGGAAATGAGTACCTGTTTATAAATGGACAGTTCTAGACAAAGACACTTTCCACTTTTAAAATAATATAATGAGCCCAGAAAGATGATCAAGATGGCTTGACAAAGTATCATTGAAAGCCAATGACCTTTCAGAAGCCCAGCCTTGTTTAAGGAAAAAAAAATCACACCACTGTAAATATATTACCTATTTAAATTCAATAAGCGATTGCAGTATGTGTTGCATTGGATATTTATGTAAATAAGGAAGAGCAGAAGGCAAAGTCCCATAAATCTAGGGTTCTGTTTGAAGCACAAGGTTGGAAAGGAAGGAGTTGTGGATAGAGCAGAGCAGGGCTGCTGAGAGGTCAGATGGTGTGCTAAAGGCTGGAAATAGGTGTAAAACGTGGCTCCATTTCCTAACTGAAGGGCCAGCTTTTTGCTGAGAGATACATCAAATGGATTGTGACCACGATCATAGAAATGTTAGTCAAGAAACACATGAAACCAGACCATGAGTTAATTAAGATCAAAAAAGTATATGTATCGTCTATGTAAGTTAAATGACCTTGAATTTGGGGAAGAAAAAGTCAGATGTTAAAATTCAAGGTATCAGGTTCTTTCCTATAAAGCAGGAGATGGGCATACACAAAAAAAGAAAATTATTTTAGTCTTTAGTGTAATTCTTAAGGTAATCTACATAATTGAAACAAGTAAAAATGTTTTTAAAACTTTACATATTATTTCAAAGTTATAATTTTATGATTAACTGTCTCCTGATGAGAAGGCAATATTGTCACCCTTCTTATGTTGTTTATTCATTTACAGTACCTGAGAGCCACTGGAAATAATATTTATAAACTATAATGTTTACAAGCAATTAAGTTTGGTGGCAGTGCAGAGAAAATATATACTTTGTAGTGGGAAATAACTCTAGGAAGAAATTACAGCTTGATCATGGAGACACTTTAATAAACTTTAATTGGTAAACAGTAGGGAATCACTGGAGTTGTTTTTAGCAGGGGCACGGCGTGAGAACTGATTTCCAATACTGAGCAGGACGAATCAGAGAAGTTGAGGAAGGAATCAGAGAAACAACTCGGGCCTCTGTCCCAACGTTCCAGTAGAAGGAATAAGGAGGACCGAACCCAGGGATGAAACACACGGAACAAAAGCAAATGATCTGGTGGCAGAAGACTGGGGCTGGGTGTGATAGAACAGACCAAGAGGATCACGGGAAGACCCGAGGGGGAAGCACAGGGCCAATAGTCTCAGGAGAGCTGATCTGGGGGACAGTGAAATATTATCTGGTTGTGGACAAGTTGAACTTGAGGTCTCTGCATTTTGTAGGCATCGGCATGGGATGAAAAGTCAGCCTTGGGTGTGGTACAGAGACAAGAGGAGGGGAGATCCCCAGGAGAGAGGAAGAGCAGAGATGGATGGAACCCAGGGACCAGACAGGGCATGCGGCATGGAGCCCTACAGACCAGTGTGCTTGAAAGGGATTTGTCGGGGAAGTAGGAGAGCCAGGTCCAAGGAAGACAGAAATTAGAAAAAGGAAGGGCTAATGGCTGCCTGATGAAGATGAAGGCTAACATATGGCCATTGGGGTTGCCAATGAGGAACACTTTGGTGACCTGAGCAAAGCAGCGTCATTCAGGCATGAGGGTAGCCCTTGGCCCGTGAGGAGTGAAATGCTGGGGTGTTATGAGAGTACAGGGAGCCACAGGATCCATCCAGTTTCAAGCAATGTCAAAACTGCTGGGTCAGCATCCATTCATGTTTCTGTATTTTTTCATTCTGCTCAGCCTTCCTAGAAATTCCTATTTGAATCCCATTTTCACCATCCACTTGTACCGAGAATTTTCCTTCCACCACAATGGAAGGCGTTTTCAAAAGCTGATACCAGCTGAATGTGTTAATGGAGTCTCATGATGAAATTCTATCAGGCAGAGCATATTGTTATTGCAATATATTTTATTACTCCATTAGTACATGTTATAAAATATGTACTTATGAACAATTACTACTACAATTTGATATATCCAATCCATTGATATAGGAATTTGGAGCAACAGAGCCATTTTTAGTAAAGAAATTGAGATGAGTAAAGGTGAAATTCAAGATTCTATAGCATGTGTGAAATGAAATGATCCATTTTAAAGACTGGATATAACCATGCTTATATAGATGCACTTCCATTTAGGACAAACGATTCCATTTATAACTGTGAAGAATACATTAAAGCTAGAGAATTATAGTCAGATAAAAATCTCTTAACAAAATGTCAACTGTTTCATCCACAAAGAACAGCAGGAGCTTTCTTTAAAAAAGCCTCTTCTTTTTTGACTAATGGTATAAAAACTCATGCTAATTTCAGTAAATTTAAGGGATGATTATAATCAGCACTTTAAAAATGAGAAAATGAATGATTTAAGATGCAGACTATATAAAAAAACCTAGACTCTGTAGAAATGATCAAAGTCAGCAAAGATATGGGGGCGGGGGTTGTGAAAAGGACAGTAAAAGTTGATGCAGAATAGAGATACAGGAAACATTCTAGATGGAGAAAAAGATGAATCCATTAGAGCGGGAACCATGCTGTTTATTGTGATAAATCATATTAATAGAAGTCTTCTGAACAAGATATCCAATTGAAGGAAAGAGAGGGGATATATAAATAAATCAGGGTTTTAATTCACTGCCCTTGCTTTCGGTTGCAGGAAGTCAATGCCACACATTCACAACTGAAGCTGTCACCACAAGTGCACGCTTTGGCAGGGAACACCATGTGCGGTTCTGTTGATGAGCGTGCTCACAGCAGGTTCTGAAGAATAAAATGTCTCCAAAGAGAAGGAAAGCAGGGGAATCAGAGCTTTGTTAAGAATGACATTCTAATCATTCTAACAGCAAAAGGATTCAGTTTCACAAAGCCAATCAAACCAGCTTCATAATTTTTGTCTTCTGGCTCCTTCACCAGACATTTCTTGACTGCCGGTGAGGAGACAGGTGCTGTGGAAGTCACCGAAGATTCTCTGTGTGGAATCAGAGGC